GCATATTGAAATAGATCGACCCCAGCTATGGCTCCAGATTTGATGACATGTTTGGTGCTGGATCTCTCTTCGCTTAAGGAATTTTTAACAATACCCGGAAGCAGTAATATTCTCTGGATTCAATTTCACAGCTTCCGCTCAACCTACTCTACAAGAGAGCCTGGGTAGAAATTTCACTTGATTTGTGAGATCAAACTGTGGACTTCTTACGAGGGCATTTTTATGGTCTTCAATAGGAGCAAGCTGACTGACCATCGACATTGACCTATTTCGTAGTAAATAATTAGCCTAGGATGATCAAGTTCACGGCAACAGACCGGAAATCATTTATTGTACTGTTTAACTTCTATATTTCTTATTCAAGTTTATTCTGTATCGTGATGTTTTAGACGCTGGGGAGCAGATCCCAAGGACAAGGAGAACAACGCATGTTGGCTAGCGTTATACCAACATGACACCTGCTACCTGCTAGAGAATAGCAAACTATAAGGTTCACCTTAAACATTGTCGGTTATAGTAATTGTAGTCAAGGGCGTCAAGGACGCCGGCTAGATGAACTACAGTAGCCAGGACAACCAGGACATGAAATATCTGGTGTGATGATCCATATATATCGAATAATCCCGGGCTGATACTCTCAGGGAACCTCGTCTGTATGATACATCATGGTCTAGTTAGTGATCTAGATACTCTTGTTCCTCTCTGTTGCAAGAATACCTAAAGTGGAGGGGAATATTTTGAAGAAGAGTAATATTAACAAGTAGACATAGGAGGACTAGTAATTGACTTACGGCATATACGATGGCTCCGGTGAGAAACAATCCCCCTTCAGCCAGGTAGTAAGGTAGGCCAGATTGCTTCATCATCTGTGAGAAGCCAAACATGACGATCCCGTGGATGATAGGGGCTAACCCAGAGAGCCCCGTGCATACAAACGTGAGCAGACGTAAGGTGCGCCACTTTGGGCCCTGAAACGCGGGTGCTAACACGATAATTATGGATATTGCAGCAAGAGACCCGATCTATAAACCAGTATAGAGACAACTCGTCAGTTCAATCCCAAGTAAAGAAGCTGGCTCATATCGGGTGCTTGGTATTTGCTCGTTTCCATTGACCCAGGAACGGTCGGAGAGGCATGATTGGAGTAGTAGACTGAAAATGACTATTACTTGCCATAGACCAATAAATCTTTCTTTCCAACGTCTCACACCAGAAACCAACGTAGACGCCCGAAATGAGAGACCCTAGTATTAGCAAAATGATGCCGACAAAGTCAAGACGCAACCACAGAGCTTCTACTTCTCGAGAATGGCACATTAACGTATGATAAGCGCTAGAGAGACCGAGGCATGCCGTTGCGGAAAGTAATAGTACTGCGACGACACCGGCATCGTCGCTACTGCGGTGCTGTAGGCGGGAGACTAGATAAGCCAGGCCACTTATGAGTAGAGCTATTGCTGGCACTAGGTGTGTAAATATGTTCACTGTCTCATTGTGTAGGTATAGCCAACTTCCGAAACAGACTCGCGCCGAGTTAGACACGGGTCGGTAGCCTCGTCGGACATATGGGTTGTCCTGGTACCAGTCTGGAATTTCATCGTATAGAGCTAAGGGGTGGCTGTGTTTATCCTGCCGTGTCTCGCTTTGGGAACTCCTCGTCGAAACATCTGCGCTGTTAAAGTTCGGTTGCTGCTTCTCGTCCGATGAAGATGTAGTAGCGGACCAATTGGTCCAATTGGGCGCAGTATTAACCTCTTCTGATAGCGGCGGCATCATGACCTGCTTATCCTCGGACATGTAGCATAATAAACATAGAAAAGAGTGTCTTTCCTTATCCCTTCTTCGTTTTGCATTTCAAAATATTTTAGGGGACATGTTCCTAAATCGCTTGATTTGCATGTGCGGAGTGAAAGGGCGGGGTCGACGATCTTGTCCTATTGCTTGTAATTTGCCAGCTTCTGTGAAGAGCTAGATCACCGAAATACCGGGGACCTGGAACTAGGAATTCCATTATAATGCCAAAATGCCTCAAATTGTCAATAAGCATGGTATTATGTATCAACAGCAATGACATCATATGAAGCAGAACGAACCCCCTTTTTGATCTAGTGTGGGGCATCACAACGCTTGTTGAATTTCCAAAGACCTCGGATAGACACGAGACGGGGAGAGCAACCTAGAATTTCTCGGCATCAATTACGCCTGAGATCTTACAGGCTTGTTTGCTGGTCATAGGCTATAAACCACCGAAAACATCGGGACCTCCCAATAGAAACTGAAGCAATGACGCGCGACATAGAAGTGAAGCTATGCCCAAAATTACAATCGAAGATATTAATAAATGTATGAGTTGCACAATACTGTCTCCGGTCTATGTGCGTACACTCTATGTTGGCCATCTGAAGAATGGCTAAGTCCTTGACTGATTAGGTACATTAGCATAAACACGACACAAGCTCACTAGAGCCCTTCTGCTGTTAACAGAACAACAATCCAATAAGACTGCTGTTCAAGAGACTGAAAATAAAATTCGAATGAGTTGGGTATAATTGCCGTAATGCGAAAACCCGTACTCAACCTACCTTGAAAAATCTGTCTGGCCGTCATGAAATTTCCTTGTCGCTGGGCCCAAATCAGGTGGTAGATTTCTCAGACTGAAGCATATTTTGCTTGCAAGGATTGATCGTGATGCGAACTGATTTGGATTTAGGATTAGGTAGTAGTGCCGTCAATATCTGAACAGTGTGCATGAATGTGGCGTAGTTTCTGAATGCTTCGCTGAGAATTCAACTATAATTCCAGTTCGATATCTCCTATTTGGAGTTGTAGGCGGGCATCGGATAACTGCTAAAGGCCGGGTACTGCCCATTTCCTTAGCTTTAAAGAGAGCTTCCTCGACCTGCCATTCATTCCCTTGAAGGGAACTATGTGTACATAATTCTTAAGCTGTAGGGCTTGAAACCGTACGAAGCCGTCCTAGTAGTCGTACTTCCGCATTGTGATGGGCGCGCCTACACATTAAGCAAAACACTGTTAGTCTGGTCCAGTATATCAATTTGCACCATCTCCGTTTCTGTGGCTGCTTGAAGCATTGGAATCTGGTACTCGATGCTTGTCCAATATGGCTGGTCCAATGATACCAGAGAGGCGAGATGATAACCACAATAGGTTGAAGGCATGGGACCGTTTTACAGTCATCGTTAATAATCCAAGCCCTTCCTAAAAAGTCCATAAGATTTGCTGTTTCATACCCGAAACCTGTGAAGAACATTGTCGCAATGTCTTTAACGTGGTTGCATCTCTCCGTGTTACTCTAGCCCCTAAGACGAATCCAAACATAGGACACTGGAAATTTGCACCGAGTAACTCCTTTCTTGTAGATGTTAATACTTGGATTGATAGGTTTTGTGATAGAATGTTCGCCAGTTAGCCGTAAATTTGATAGGATGTCGTGGTCATGCTCGGTATCTGAAGTGCTGGCAGATCATATGGGTGACGTGGACATCGAAATCGCGAATCATGACCCCACACATAGTAATCTTCTGCATTTGATCCATCAGGCACGAATCGAGATAATGACGGCCAGGTTACCAGATTCTCAGTAAACCAGGATGACGGTTAAAAAGGGCGCAGAAACCTATTGGTGTAGAGCACACAGAGTTGCTTCTCGCTTGCAGCCTTGAGGCATCTCTGTGAATGTGGCTCGTCATGACACGCGCCGTGAATGTGTACGTGTGTCCTAGGGAATTGAGTCTTAGTTACTGAACTCTTTCCTAGATAAATAGACGAAACGAAGAATATTGGCCCCTCGTTTGACAGAATAGGTACGAAAGCACCCAAGGAGCCTTGGGTTGCTGTTGTGATATGCGCCGCGATAAACCTGCAGTTTGGAACACGACATGAAATACATCCCACTTGTACACCGAGACGCGTTTCGATGTCAAAACTTGGCGAGTTGAATCTTGAAAATGGTAGGCATTACCTCCTTAAGTAGCTAAAATACGTTAGGGTTAGAGAAATCAGTAGGAGACGAGTTATGTGTTGGGTAGTTGAGGTGGTGCAAGATATGCGGATAGCTTCATGTAGTGGGAGGATGCAGGTGGGTTAGCAGCAAAAAGCCATAGCTCAACAATGTCCATGTTTCTGGAATTGCAAGAAAAGCAATGGTATATCAATTATAGCTTGAAGATAGCTAAACAACTGAAGAATCACTTGAATCGAGGCTTGGAAGCCAATGCATGGGTTATGAAGCCACCATCTCGAATGCGACCGATAATATCGAAAACCAAATCGGCCGAAAACAAACGAGAGGCTCTATGGATGGACCAAGATACAGCTGGCATTATACTAAATCAGTCTTTTAATTCTCTAAATCGGACTATTCTATAGAACGTCAATAAATGACTCAACAGATCGCCTGATTAAAAATGTGTGGGAGGCAACATAGAAGAAGAAGAGGGAGAAGGGGAGAACAGAAGGACGACGGGGAAGGGGGGGGGGACGGTGGGAGAGTTGGGTGTGTGAGGGCTCGAGTTTCGTAGGCGCATGATTTGATCGATGTAAGTTAAGAAGTGACAAGAAAAAAAATAAAAAATAAAAAATAGGTACTTTGGAAGCGTGAGCTGTTGTTTGAGCTTCGGCCAATCAAAAAATTCGACAACACGGATCAGCTTTATCGAACTGGGGAAAGATTCTAGGCGCTGTGAGAGGTCCAAATTGGCATCGAATCAGTCCTTCCAAGCATTTGACTGGCTGGTGGAGGCTATGCAGAATGCCCATCGGGCTGCGGGTTATTTAGGTCTAAACCTGACTAGGAAGTAGTTTAGACGTTTCAGGGAGATAATGCAACCTTAAATGTTAAGGTAGGCAAGGTAGGCAGGGTAAACAAAGTGCGATCGGGTCTAAATATATGGGTGAAAGGTGCGTGTTGCCTACATTACCTGCCCTGACTGTTGGTATTTTATTAGGTACCTTATGTAGGTATTTATTTTTTAGTGCCAGCGAATTTTAAAGTGAATCCATTTTTATGGAGGGGGAAGAGGACGAAGCACCAATTTCTCCCACTGTAGCTGATTGTACTAGACTACCTAACGTACTTACTGATTGTACACGACCCCCCGCCTAATATATAAGCAAGCTCACCTTTCTCGCTGTCGCGTCCCGATCGAATGCTTCCCTCCCTTCCGTTTTCTCTTGACTATATTACTTCCGTACAGTAGAAACCTTCCCGTTTGCATCTATTCACCAGAAAGCCATTCTCAGATCCAATTGATCATTTCAACTGATTACTTGCATCCCTCCAATAACGCGTTATCTAACCAACAAACACATTCGAAATGGGTCCCAAGAAGGTAGACGGAGCTCCCAAGCCCAAGAGCACTCATGCTTCCTATCAGGTATGTGCAGCGACAACTCGACCGGCATTTTACTGGACCACCTTGAGTACTAACAAGTTACAGGACATGATTACTGATGCCATTGTTCATGTACTTATCCCCATTCCTTTGCCTCCGGCGCATCGTGTATTGCTTGGTGTTTGTGGTTGGGTTGCATGCCAGGTGGTCATCGTCTAGTGCTGCCACTCAACCTTACATGACTAGTATATCATATTTAGATCTATTGAGTGAGCATGCTGACGCGTCTTTTTCAACTTCAGCTCAAAGAGAGAAATGGTTCCAGGTAAGGAAATCCGAGCGCACTCCTGTCCTGATACCCACTATTTTAGTGGTGGCGTTTACCCCCGATCAATCCGTGCTAACTATATCATAGTCGTCAACAACTCAAGAAATATGTCAGGGCAAACAACACCATCAATGTCACAGACAAGATGTTCGACTCTCTATTCAACAAGGCCTTGAAGGCTGGTGTTGATAAGGGTCTTTTCGAGCAGCCCAAGGGTATGTCTTATGACAATCCATTCCCTGTCGTGTCTATGCTTGGATATTAACTTGTTATAGGACCTTCCGGTGGTACTAAGCTGTCCAAGAAGTCTAAGCCTGCCGTAGCCAAGCCGGCTGCCAAGAAGGAGACTGAGAAGGATGCTCCCAAGAAGGCTGCCCCGAAGAAGGAGACCGCTACTAAGAAGGCTGCCGCACCAAAGAAAGCAGCAGCTCCCAAGAAGGAAGCCACTGAGAAGAAGCCTGTAGCGAAGAAGGCTGCTGCTGCTGCCGCCGCCCCCAAGAAAGCTCCTGCTGCTAAGAAGGCGGCACCCAAGAAGGATGTAAGTTTACGCGCGTTCTTGTTAGCCTCTGCATTATCTAATGGATTTAGGCTCCCGCTGCTGAGGACAAGCCTGTTGCTTTGACGAAGACCAAGGCTGGTAGAGTCACGAAGACTGCGACGGCAGCTAAGCCAGCTGCTAAGAAGGCCGCGCCCAAAAAGGCCGCTGCACCCAAGAAGGAAAAGGCACCAAAGAAGGAAGCAAAGGCTGAAGCTGCTGCATGAACATTCGCATCTTGATTTGTGTCATTCGAATTGTGTGTTGGGGTTTGGCGGTTTAATGGCGTTCGGGGAACAGGGTACAAAGTTACGTGTGCGTCTTTACTGCGCCATGGAATTCGGCGTGTTTTTTGGAAGGGTCGGTAAGGATTTCAGTGAAAGGGGGGCGATAATAGCTCCGAAGCGTTGCAGATGTGTCCGACATACCTTCAGCGGTGCCAGCGGCTCGTGTGCATATTGTCCTTCCCTTAGCGGGATCATGGTTATTTCGGTTGGATTGCACATATTCCCCAGTCATGGCATCTGTTAGAGGATGGGTATGGAACTGACGACATCATGAGTATACTTATAATTATACCAATGAAAATGAGGGCCTTCGCACGGCTTCCGACCTATGTTTAAGTCTTGTCGCGGTTGTGAAGTTTCTATGTAATCCTGGTTAACGCGTTTGCTCACTATCGATTTGTTTACGGCCTGGCTAGGTAGGATTGCGGGGCTGCTACCGGTGTTGATAATAGTTATCACGTGCGGTGAGAGGGGCTCTTATATTAAATCTGTTATGGACTCCTAACATGGTGCGTCCCAACGATTCTGATTGGTTGTAAGGAGCTTACCCCGGTAAATGCAGACTATTACCGTAAACAAGCGTGTGTGGCTCTGTCAACAAATTCATATTTAACAGCCGTATCTAAGTCTTGAAACATATACTTCGTTTAAATTGGTTGTACACAGGAGATGTAGGACAAGTTACGAGATTAAGCTAACGTAAAACACAAGTCAGCGGATCACACAAGTCAAAGGCCCAGCCGAAATATAACCGAAAATCAACGTTTTTGAAAATTCATAACTTTACGAATCTTTAATTAAAAGTTCTCAAATTTTAATATGTTTTATTTAACTATAAAACTAATACGAAAATATTTTTTTTAATTTTTTTATTGCATTATAATAAAAGTTATAAAAGATATTAATATTTTCGGACCCACTTTTACGTTTTTTATTTTTATTTAATTTAAAAAATTAAAATGAAATTTATAAAAAATACTATTATTATTATGATTTAAATAAATACCTAAATTTGAAAACCGATTTTTAATATGATTTTTTTTAAGTAAAGTGCACGGTTACGCACAGACGTATTTTGTATGTATTTTCGCTGGGCCTTTGACTTGTGTGGGCCGCTGACCTATGAAATACGTTATGCAGAGTGCATAGTACTTTGTAGTTAACCTAGTACAATTGTCGCATCTTAAATTATGTAGTTAAATATATGTAGCAAGTAAAGCAGCTTCAAGCGTTGGCCGAGTATAGCCAGAGCATTGTTCCGCAAAGACAGCAGTCCAATAGTTCAGAATTTAAGTTGCCTAAAAATGTCCTATTAATAAATAGAGTTGGTAGATAATGTAGGTATGATATTGCATACATATAATTAATATAACTCTCCGCACCTTAAACTCAGACTTGCAGACTTATGACTTACAGATTTTAGTACTATGATCTTCCCTCTCCACTTTAGCTTGCTAGGTATAGATCTACATTATGTTTATCCAGCTGATAACCCCTTTTTAGATTAGGCTCGTATTAATCTATAGACTATGCCGTTTCCATTTTCTATTTTGCGCGAAAGCTGGGAGCTAATGCCTCTCCAATGCAGCAATTTTGGAGTCTATTATTTGGAGGTTCAAGGTATGATAGAACTTTATCGTTATCAAACAAGACGGTATCGCAATCCGATAGCCCGCTACCGAAACTTCCGAAGACTCTACCCACTCCTGCCGCTCCAGCCTAGGCTGACCACATGCACCTTACACACCTAATCAATACGGTATACAGTACATCGCTCCCAAGTTGTTATTTTCTACTGTATGTCGTAGTCTGGAGGGGGATCTACAACTACAACTATACAACTACACTACGACTACACTACCACGCCGATACCGACGTCGACCCGACTCATGTATCACTAACGTATCATGGCCAGCCTAACATAGCTTCTATTGCCTTTCTCTGCACAATCCGTCTAAACCGTGCTTTGTTAGGCGTTCCCATCATCGCATCATGTCTTCGCGAGATCAATCCCTCAGCTCTAATAACCCCTTTCGTCGGAAGCTAGGCTATCCCTCTCTCTCAACTGAAGGCCTTGCCTCGGCACCCGCCTCGAGTTTCAATAAACCCTCCGATCCTATCCCACGAACACCATTTACGACTTTCAAGTCAGCCCCACCTAAAGATGACGAGCACAATGAGCACAATGAGCACAATAAACACAAGGCGCACGAGGGGAGAGAGAAAGAGGCGGCGCCGGTACAACCTAAGCCGAAGAAGGTTATCAAAAGAGTTCGAGTCCAATCACCACCTCCATCGTCACCCGAGGATGCCGTACCCGTCAGCCGTTTTCCCTCCGTAAGCGATGACGATGACGATGACGATGGATATGATAGTGACAATAGTGATCTACCAGAGTATATTGATCACATTAATCCACGCGGCACGGACTCTTTTGCTGTGCAAGATCGGGATAGCTCTGAATTTGGCCGATTAGAACCTCCAGCGAATCCCTTCACAAAGACGCTACAGGATTTAGAACAGTCCGAGCAAGAGCAGAGTACTAAAGCACTGACGAAAGGAGCCCTTGATGTTGACTCGTTCAAGAGACTTCTATTAACAGGACGCGCAAATATCCCAAGCCACCCATCCGCGTCAGCACCCGAATTAGGAGGGTATCCGAGGGTTCAATCCCCCTTACATGGCGACGAGACTAGCACGGACGCACGTCCTAGAGCACGCCAGTCTATATTTGATAACGTGCCAAAAGAGAACTCTCGAATTTCACAAAAGAATTTTGGATCGGAAGATCCTGGGGAGCGAAGAGGCGCCCTGTCCACATCTCCCCTTTCCTCGGCCCCTCCCTCCTCAACGAAGAAAAAGCCACCGCCTCCTAGCTCGCGGCATGGAAAACTGATAAAGATCGAGTTGGGAGCAGGTATAGAATCCCATACCACTAGAAATTCAACACCTCCCGTATCTATAAATGCCACCACCCTACCTTCTACTGGACCGTCACGTAAACCCACCTCCCAGGCAGGCGCTCCGTCACAATCTCCGCTTTTAACAACTGATGTGAACAAACCGCTCCCGCTAACACCTTTCCGTCCCTCTGTGGAAGAGGCAGTTGATTCCCCATTCGATCGCGAGGCCATAGGAAAGGTTCCCGAACCCTTCGCTGATCCGCAGGCGAATTCCGAACCGCCAACGTCGCCCCCAGCTGCTCAGGTTTATTCTGAGTCGAACGGCATCACGCAGTCTCGCAAACCCGCAGCCCCTCCGCCACGCCGACACGGAAGAAGCGATAGTAGAGCGCCTTCCATTAATACTACGAATGTAGATGACGATACCCCACCAAGATCATCACTAGAGTCGAACCGGTCGCGAGCTGATAGTCTACGCGCGAATACTAACCTGGGTAATAATTCAAACGTACCCGTTCCACCACCTCCTCGCCGGCCAAATCATGCCAGACAGGGGAGTTCGTTTACGAGTCCAAGCCAGGGGAATTTTACTCCGGCCTCCACTATAGGGCTGGCTGAAGACAACCGCAGCCCAATAGGAACGGGTCTTGGGTCCGTGAGTAAAATTGGGCAGACAGAAGGCCTGGGTAGTCCAGCGACTATAACTACAAACAAGGAAGGCCTGCCCAAACTATCCCCGCCGCCCCCGCCACCTACTAGACAAGCCAGCACGAGACGCCCACCAAGCGTCAGGAGTATAGATCTTAGTAGCGGGCCTGGTATAATAAGGCGAGTTAGTAAGGAGAAAGATGGAACAGTGCCACCCCCTCCACCACCTCCCCCGAGACAACGTGGTAGTAGCCGTGCGAGCGTGGAAAATACAGCTGTGCTTGCAGAGAGCATGGAGAATACAAGCGGTGACTCCCAGAAGGAGGCCACAATCTCCACTCCAACTACTGCTGAGGCTGCGATCGATACCAAGCAAGGGGCGGAGATATTGGCGGACCTCGACGCATTGCAAAGGGAGGTCGATGCTCTGATGGGAAGATACGGAAATGTCGGTGGGAGCTAAGAAGTACGCACCCTCTAGCCTTTTGAAAATAAAATTTAAAACCAGGAGGTTCCCGTGGTGGGAACTAACAGACACTCATGGGAGTGTACGAGGACCCTTCAAAAGAGAGAAGATCGGAAGGTTAGCATGGCCTAGACCGGTTCCTCCCCGACTGGATATGAGATATGAACTATGCGTCACAAATTATGAACGTTATATAGGATCCTTGTACAGTAGGTAATTGGTAATGCTGGGGCCGCCAGATGTCCGGACACACCGGCCCACAGCCGGAGATTATAGTACAGCGCGGTTATTCCGGACCGAGGGAAAGAATGAAGCGTAAAGTTTGATACCTCCCTATGTTGTTCCGCCCGCAGCGCATGGGTGTGTACCTAAGTATGGTTGGTACCACCTGTCCATACCTATATACTGCTTGCTTTTAGTCGTAGGCGCGTGATAGCTCGCGGATATGGGTATATGCTGGTGATTTAGTATTTATATTTACCTTATACCGTTAAGGACGCAGGGACGAAGTGAAGGCAAATCCTTAGAGGCGTGGTAGGTCGTATGGGTAGTACAAGTTACAAAATAGGGGTATGAGTAAGAAAATCGCAAATTTCTCATGAAGGCTTTGGAAGAACTTCCCTAAGCTTGCTGGGAAACTTAGCGGCGATATTAAGAAGATTACTTCCTAAGCTAGCTACCTAAGGTTTTGATGGGTTATAAGTCGGCACTTGATATGTATTGGTATATCCACTATAACTAGTAGCTATCTGGATCTACCGGTATATACCTCCGAGTTGCTTTCATAGAAAAGTGACATTGTCTCTATATTAGACTGGTATATTTCTAGGCAGCCTTTCTTAGTTATTCCCTAGTCATAGTTTATTTTGGACTTGGCATCTCGGTATGTGTAAGTAGATAATGCTCTATGACATACCAAGGCGATTAAGATATGGCTTATATAGTCCTAGTATTTCGTGTCACCATAGATGATGGCATCTGGGCCATGTTTTCAAACGTAGTTTTCGAAGAGGTATAGTGAGGAAATATAATACCTACGCAACAAGTCCCATTTGACACCCCCGAGAGATTCTGCCATAGATAACATAGCCTTCACAAGAACTTACCTCGGAGGCTGTAAAAACTATGGAGCATATTAGTAGTATAAGGAAAATATATTCGGCTGAGTGAATTATACGCGTCTCTGAGGAATTGTGGAGAATATGTTAGAATCAACAAACCTGGTAGCTATTTTCTACTCTCTGTAACCCGTCCAGCAAGGTTCTCATTACACGGTAGTATATGAGTAGAAGGACTATCGAGCTACTGCCTCCTTGGTTTAACCTCTCCCCCCCTTTCATAACTTGCCTCTTCACACTGTTTCAGTTCCTGGAAAGACTAATGCTTCCTAAGACCTTTATATGTCAAATAGCATGTATCCTCCAGCCGTTACTTGCCGGTCGTTTAATATATATTCTCTTACCTATATCTATTACTTCCGAGATATTAAGGCGGCCCCTCACTAATAACTCGATGAACTATAATATCCAGTGTTGAGTCCTCCGAATTTAGTAGGTGGCACTATCTTGGCTTGGCAACGAAGATACTGCGTTATCGTGGTGAGATATCTGCTTAACTCTTATAATTATTTTCGTGTTCTGTATTGAACTGCTGGAATAGGAAGTCAAGTCTCTACGGCGATTTAATACGCCCCGAGAGGCAACGGGGCCTCCCGGCTGATTTGTAAGACCATGGCCGTCGATCTCGGCCGGTGCCCCTTAGAGCTAAGCGGCGGTATCCGATGGTTTCCGGGCGATAAGAGAAGGAAATGCTGAGTGTAGATCAAGAGGACGAGGCCTTCGTGTACCTGCCGATCAAGGATGCTGGATGGTCGATTGTTGTCTTTTGACTACCTAACATATGTCAATACGAACGTGCTAATAGGTGGCATGATAACTCGTTTATCTTGATTTAAGCTGTTAGGAAGTACGGGGTATTGTCGAGAGAGTTTAAGTGGCCCGGCAATGGTGACAACGCGCACCGACAGGACGGAGAAACTAATCCAATGGAGCAGGTGGTAGTGCCAACCGATGTTGTATTAAACTTGAGGCTCGAAGCTAACGCCGGGACCTGAAGAGGACCAGGATATGAATTGCCTTACCGCCGCCCCTCGAGCCCAAGAGAAGCATTTTATAGCAGCTTCCCCGCCACCCCAACGGTTCCTACACTTATAAGCTTTGATATCCGCGCCAAGCCAAAGGACCCGACGGCTAAGGAAGAAGGTCAAGATGATGTGGGTAATTATAGACGGTAATCCGACAGGCTCGCATAATTCGACTATAGTTAAAAGAGCGATCTTAGCAAGATCGGGAAGGTCTGGCAGTTATGCGCCGAAGACCCGAGATCTATAACACTTGGAGATCATAGTGGCCAGTCGCACGACATCGAATCTCAGCTTCTAGATTTGCAATTCAGCTCGTCGAAGATCCGGCCACCTCCCGAGCTGATAAGCGTTCTCGAGCGCCAAGAATCCGGATATTCCAGACCCCTGCGACACGGTTTTCAGATTTACCAAGTTGCAGAACCCGATCATACCCAAGATCCCAACCGCGACCCTCCCCTCGCTGCCGGGTAAATTATCCTGGATACCTACCACATGGAGAAGATTTCTTTCTTCACCGTACCCTGGCGAATCGGCTGATGATGCGATGCGCTGAGGGGACAATTGTAACTGCGTTCCTGGGAGATGTCGTTATCATGATTAATAGGGGTTACAACCAACGAATACGGATGCTAATTCCGCGACTCCGCCATGTCCTCTGACAGGACGACCGCGTTGACGAGGTGAAGCGAGAATGTTATCTTCCTCCCGTCGGATCTGTAACGATCTCCTTCCGAAGTTGGAAGACGGCTTGTTATCGCCCATACGATTCTCCCCGGACGTGTTCCTGCAGCATCGCTTCTGTGACGGACGAGTAAGATTGACACACTACCGTGTCTCTGCCTGAATCAGGATGCTGGTCATTGGTTAAATTGTGAATGCTGGCGACCCGTCACGAGGTTACTTCGACTACCGTGTTGATATAGCTATGACAGGTCATATCGCCGTCGAGAGTATGATTCCATCGGCTTGGCGTCTAGTTTTAACGCTTGAAGGATACAGCCTTCTCCTACCCTGCTTTGCAGCTTCCTGAATGCGTCTAGAAAGAAAGCATCGTTCTAGAAACATACTTCAGCCAGAGTCTTTGAGTTCGACATCGTGCCCCCGCCGGCTATAAAAGACCCCTTTCCTCTCTTCCAAGTTGTGAGAAACTCCTAGCCAGCAAGCAGCTCGAACAAGATCCTCAGCAGCCCACAACAAGTTCGACATAATCTGAATATCTTCAAGATGAAGTTCACCACCGGTATCTCCCTTTTCGCCGCTGCGGCCAGCGCTCTTTCGGTCGACCTGAACAAGCGTGACTCTCCTCTCGATGTCAAGCTTGAGATGGTTGGCAACACAGCCGTCAAGGCTAGCATTACCAACACGTACGTAGGAGCTGAGTTCCCAGGAATTTCACTCTTCCCCTGAGAAGTCTAAACGGATTTGGGTTAAGAATTAGAGCTGACGTGAATTCTTAGTGGTGCTTCTGACCTGAAGGTCTTCAAGACCGGTACTTTCCTGGATGAGAATGCTGCCACTGAGAAGGTTGCCATCTACCAGGGTGGTAAGTTTTCTGCGAATGCGTTATGGACCATTAGAAGAGACTAACATGGCCTGCTAGGTAACAAGGTCCAGTTCGACGGCATTCGTCTGCGCGTGCTGACCACTGGACTTGACGAGGAAGCGTTCAAGACCATCGCTGCTGGCGAGACTGTCGAGGCTACCTTCGACGTCGCCCAGGTTTACGACCTTAGCGCCGGCGGTAAGTATGACGTTGTCTCCCTAGGAGCCGTGTCCTACGCCGAGCTCAACACCACCGACCTTGCTGGCATCTACTCGGTTGCTGGAAGCACTATCACCGCCGAGGTCGATGGCGCTGCCGCCAAGGAAGTCCGCCGCCGCTTCCACGCTAAGCGTCTTGCCGTTCAGTCCGACTGCACCGGAAGCAAGCTTAGCGCCACCAACACGGCCATCAGCAACTGCCGTGCTTTAGCCTCAGCTGCCCAGACTGCTGCGACCTCGGGCGCTGCCGCTAAGGTGACTGAGTACTTCAAGTCGAGCTCCAGCTCTACTCGCAGCACAGTCGCCAGCTTCTTCTCGAGGGTAGCCAGCCAATGCAGCAGCACTACGTCGGGTGCGCGGCTCTACTGCTCTGACGTGTATGGCGCGTGCACGAGCGGTGTCCTTGCGTACACCTTGCCTTCATCCCAATACGAAGTCAACTGCAACCTGTACTTCACCGCGCTGCCGGCCTTGTCCAGGACTTGCCACGCCCAGGACCAGGCGACCACAACCCTTCACGAGTCGACCCATCTCTACGGCACCGATGACTATAACACCTACGGATACTCGGGTGTCCGCGGCCTTTCGGCATCCCAGAACCTGAACCACGCCGACACCTATGCGCTTTTCGCCAACGCTATCTACGTTGGCTGTTAAACGTGTTGCTACTCACTAGTTGTGCTGTCGGATAGGGGGCTATTTTTTTTCTTCGGGCATGGAACGCTAATACTGCTAAGGGGAAGACAGAAAGAAAGAAAGAAAAGAAAGGTAAAAGAACAAGACTGCCCAAAAGAGTTTATTTTTTTCCTTCTGCCTTCCCCTAGAAGGAGCTTGTCAAAGGAAATGTTGTTTCGTGCACTGTCTTCTCCCGACAGTGGGACAAAGCCCGCAAGAAGGCGGGGAGCGAGCGCAAACTTCTCTTGGATACAAAAGCGGGATTCACGTGTCATTCTACGATTGTTTTTTAATACGCAAATAAATGTCTTTATCTAGTATCACAAGGCAATTGTTCTGTCTTATAGGCATCGGCTTGCAAGTGACGTGGTTTAAAAGCAGAAACCACACGTGTTCAGGGTACCGGAGTAACCATCACACATCACACTTCACACTTCACACTTCACTATCCCTAGATATTGGCTGGCCATTGCACAATTTAGAATTTTCTTGGCATCCTCAGGAAGGGTGTTTCTTACCACTTTAAGTTTTGATCAGCAAAGCCCATATTATTGAGTCCGCTCAAATAAGACGGACTCAAATTTATTCTCGTCTCTCTTTTCGGCCTATACCTACCCCTTCGGTTCTGTGCAGCGCACTTACTTTTCGCATACATACCTAGATAATCATGCAGCCTCGGCAAGCGTCTACTACGCAATACGAACATCACCAAGCCGGGCCACAAATATGCCAAGATAGCCTGATGGATGATATGCGCGACGCTAAGAATTCTGTCGCGTTGTTCGCCGACTACATCAACCGGCTACGGCCTGAGATTCCCCGGCCGCACAGCACCGTTGATCTCCACGGCCTTTCGCAGTCCACGGTTAGCCGCCAGGGATCCACCGGCTCTGAAGATGGATCGCGCAGAAGTTCATCGAAACGACATTATAGAAGCGTGAGGAAGGAATGGGCCGAGTCACCCCAGGGGACGCTTTGGAATCACATCAGTAACACACTCCGGGAAGTCGCGGCCGAGTTACCGGACGTGAACCCAACGGCGATCCAGGAGTTCATCAGCGCGCGAGAGATCTTGGAGCTGGGAGCTGACTTTGTACGCCACTACCGCGAAAGTAGCCATGCTATGGAGAAGCCATACTGGGTGGCTGAGGACTTATTCTTCGATCTCCAGTCTGTGAAGCAGGGCGACGTGGGGGCCAGCCGGTGGACACGTGCGCGGCCAGAGAAGAGAGTAGGGTGGGATCTAGCGGACCATCTCACGCGTTTCGTGCTATTGGCAGACAGCTTCCGTAGTCGGGCGGACCGTCAGGACTGGAATACATGGAGCAATGGTTTCGTGAGAAAAGTTTCCTTTTACCTGTGCATCTTGCGATGCTTCACAGTCAGAGATGCCGAGCAGAGACAGGCTGCGCGAGAGGCTGCGCGAGAGGCTGCGCGAGACCGAGATTCGAAATTCTTAACGAAAAAAGGTTCCCACAACAGCGGCAGTAGCAAACTATCTCGCCGGAGCAAATGACTGCCGGTGGATGCCCTAGGGAAGAGACCGATAATTCGGGATTATGTGCGCTATAGGATCCATACTAGGATATGGAGGAAAGAGGAGGAAGCGCGAGGCTAAGTACCAAAAGCGCAAGGACGCCAGTGATATCGTGACTCTGATGAAGTTGACCAGCGAACAAGTACATTAGGCCAGGGATACATGTGCTGTCTTCGAGACGAACAATGAATTGATACCAAGCTACCTAGGTAACATAGCAATGCCATTAATAATCTTTCTGACATGCGTAGGTTCACATTAGTAAGTAATTCTGGCTCGAATTGTAGGGACACTTAGCAACTCTGACAACACGTCTTATTGGGACAAGGAACAAACACTATGTTGGGGAGACGGACGCTTTGTCGAAGGTGCATAAAGAAAACGGATAAGGGGAACGATAGTATAAGAGGTGAAAAAAAAAGTATTCTGGTTTTATTTAAATAAGGGCTAATAACATGAATTAATACCAACAATTGAATTCTTCAATAAGAAGAAAGTGAGAGATTGGAGAATTGACTGAAATGAAAAACATTGAAAGGTGAAGATACCTCTGTGTCTTAGGTATGCAGTAGGTACTTCTATGTACCTACCTCTTAAAGAGGTCCGTGTGTACATGTACATCCTGACGCGGAATGTAACAAAAGCAACCTCGAGCGTTGCTTCCCAATCGCGCTTACCATTGTCTCAGTTCGTTAAGTCACAATTTAGCGTTTGTACATTCTCTCGTCATCATTAAACTTCGCAGCTCCAACCCTACATCTTATCCTCCAAGCCTCTTTCCGTACATCGTTTAATCCTTATCCGAGCGTATTTCTATGCGTATTTCTATTTAAGGCACCGCGCCTTCAATCTTATTCTCCGAAATTCCGCACTCTTAATCAATTTCGCTACTCATCAACTCATCATGGAGGAGGAATCTGATATTGAGGATCGCGTCGCGTTTGAGCACGATGAGGATCTTGATGAATATGACTCCGAAGAGTCTGGCTTAGATGATGCCAACGGTTTTCTAGATATGGAAGCTGCTGAATCCGATGGTGAATCAGAGTATTCGGATGATACATCCTCAACCAAGGAACAGTTCTTTTTTCCCCAGTTCAAATCACTACCCCCCGAACTTCGCGCGCGCATCTGGGAGTTCTTCGACCCGGATCTTAGAACAAAGGCGCGAGTGTTTCACATGATTATCAGGATGAACCCAATCGAGTTCTGGAGAAGCGCAACTCTAATAGAACAGACTGCGCCGGCGAGAGCAATGTTGGCTACACATCACGAGAGTCGTGCGCTAGCATTAAAATCATATCCTGACACCCTTGATCTGCATCGAGGAAGCGGTGTTATTCGTTACAACAGTGAGAGAGATGTCATACTCCTCTCTATTAGCTCTATCCTCGGCCCCAATGACATAGAAGAGTTCTTTTCATCTCTCGGGAATATCAAATACCTTGCCTTTAACTACCTTCGCGCAGCTAATGAGGAGATTCTCTATTCGAGGCTGGCGACTCATCCGACGCTGAAAGAAATATTCTACTGCTATGATTGTTACGAGTATTCTTCTCGCGATTTAATGTGGTGTATATCCGATTCAGTTCAGCGCTTCTACACCCAGCAGACAGAATATGACGCAGTGTTAGGCCCACAACCTTTGAGATCTATGTTTTGCTGGCCGGATCTTGAGAACCATCGAGAGTTCGCTGAAGAGCATGCCCAAACTACCGCTGGACATTCCAAACCCTTGAAAATTTGGAGCATGATCGAATTCGGATATGACGAGGGGGTCCTCCGCTACGAAAGACTCGAAGCGTCGGGCGAGCGGCCCGAAGGATGGTCCTCCGATATGGAGAGCGAGCATGACTCTGATCTTGCAAGTGAGGATGAGTACGAAAGTGAGGGAATAGATGATGCAACAATCGACAGCGATGGCGGCTCAAATGAGGATGACGACGATTTGGTCGTGCAATCTGGCTCTGACGAAGATAATTTGTCTACCTTTAACGGATTTTCCCCTATTCGGGACGAGAACTCCGATCTTCATTTGGACGGCGAAATAGAAGTTGGCAATTTCTCTAGCATTGAGCCCGAGTCTCCCAATCATTATGATAATGCTTCGGAGCAGGATGGTTCTGATGAGGAGCCCGTTCAGAAGACCGCCCGACGCAAACGTCGTATTGTGTCTTCGGACGATGAAGATGATCCTAATGATGAGTGCGACGAAGAAGTTAAAATGCCGTCGCGACCTGCTAAGCGAAGCCGCGTCGTCCTTTCCGATACCGAAGACGAGGACGATGAGGATGGAGACGAAGATACTAAGCAAGGCCGCGATATTGCATACGAATCGGAGGAATCTGACGAGCCTGAGGATGAGGAACCTGTGAAGACAAAGTCGATGTCTCTATTTGAGAAGTTGAAGCAGTATCGCCAGGAAAACCCTGTCCCTCCGGACTCAGATGCTAGCTCGGATATTGAAGCATCGATAGGCAGTGAAGATTTGGATGCAGGCAACAACATCAACTTCCCGGACGATGAAATCGAAGATGAGGATGAGTTATTGGGGAACGGTGGAATAGCGGCGGATATGTCTGAAGAGCACTCCGAGGGCGATGAAGATGATGAAGACGGATGGTGATGGGTTGACTATGTGCCATAGCTTGGTACGGAGTATGAAGATGCCGGTTGCCATTCTAGCATACGACTGCGATGGGCTTTAGAGCGGCGTTAATTCTACTTGACTATAATTCGGATTTATCTAGGCGCTCATTAGCGGGCCTCTTGCATTTGTAAGAATAGCATGTGCGTTGTATGGAGTCTTGGATGGTTTAACAGGTCTGGAGGCATAAGCGTCCTGGATTTGGGTTGAAATCGCTTACCATTTGGGCACGTCAAGTAGTGGTGCCTGTTAGTTAACGCCGATGATTTAATCTCCAGGCTTGGAGTATGCGTTGAATTTAAGATACAATAATGCAAATTATCATGGACGACATATTGTCTGATACGAGTTGGTGGGATCTTAAGAATGCGCTGGGCTATGGGCCACTGAGTACATTACCCCTAAACTTTACGCTCAGTGCTTCATTATATAAACCCTGTCCGACTCTAGTCTTGGTAGCCTTTATATGAAGGCTGCTATACTCATGCTCTAAAACAACAAAAAGGATGTACGTATATCCAGACCCTATCATATACCCAACGTCTCACAGTTACCAACTACCGAAATTATCCAGCACGATAAAAGCCATTGGCAAGTTCTATTCTACCTTACTCCCCCCACTCCGCGGCCTCTCGTCATCACTGATAGACTGGCCCTCTATCACCACTCCACCACCCCTATCCCTATCCCTATCCCTATCATCACCATCTCCACCTTTCCGGCGATCAAGCAACAGCCACAGACCAAAGACAATCGCGGTAGAGGGCAGCGTAAACGCCCAGTAAACCCAGAACCCTGGATTCTGGACGATGCCGGCAACGGACTCGGCGTGCCAGTCTAGCGACGGCAGCGCGAACAGCGCCGCGAAGAAAGTCGCGGGTAGAAACGCCATCGTCATTATCGCTACCGTTCGCATGCTTGAGCTGTCGTGCCGTGTCGCCTCCGCGATCCGCCGGCTCGCGTCTGCTAGGTCTGCGTGCGTTGCGGAGTCTTCGTGCGTTAGGAGCGCGAAGAGCTTTTGCGGCTCGTGTTAGCTGTGGTTCTTTCTTTGTCTATCATGGATATATATATATATATATATTTGCTCTACGTCTTGGGGGTAACGGGAGATAAGTTAAGGTAAGGAGGTAAGGAGGTAAGAACAGGAAAGACTCTTCTAAGAAGGATCTTACCACCGTTGACAGGCGCTCGGCGCGCTCCTTGAGGTATTTAAGATATTCTTGTGAGGCATGCATGCGTCTCCTTAACAGAGGTATCGCCGCGACCAAGCGGCGTGTGTTCTCATCTTCGACCGCGATACCATATCCAGCGTCCGGCAGCAGCGCGCTGTCGAGCACAAAGTCGAGGATACCGTCCACGAGGCGGAAATGCCGCTCGTTGTTGGCGATGTGGTTTAGCACCTCACCAACGTCCTTGATATAGACTGTAATCGACTCCATCCCTAGGCGCTCCTCGATACCGCTCGAGTGCCGGCTATAGCCCGTCTCACGCTCTGTGAGCCGTACCACGTGTGCGCGGTATGAGATTTCGCCGTCGAACATGCAGCACACGCTTAGAGCCGTTACGTATGCCAGCAGAAACGGCGAGCGCAAGTGTTCCTGGTGCCGCCGCAGCACGTTGACGAACCAGGCCGCGGGCGCGCTGCTGCTGAAGCTATGTTGCTGTCGTAGGATCCACAGGGCGTGTGTTTGTAGGGTCTGTTGGTTAAACGTCCATACCAATACAAAGTTAGACGTTCCGACATAGTACGTGTCGACATGTGCCGTCGCACCCTCCTCTTCTTGATCCTCGTCGTAATCTACGGAGGGAGAAGGGAAGTAATGAAAGCCATCATACTCGCTGCGCAGGAGCCACAGTGCCGCCGGGCTCATGTGCATCGCATCGACGAGCCCTAGGAAGATATCCTTGGTTACCCATAGCGAAGGAAAGGGGGTGGACCATGACTCCAGCCGGCTGTCTATTACGACTAGCTTGAGCGAGGCAGGCGGCGGCGTAGTTGTTACACTCTTGCAAGAGTCGCCACTAATAGGTTGTTCTCTGAAGAACTTGGGTAAGTGGCCGAGCTTCAAATCCTTCTCGATGTAGGTCGTCGGTTCCGGGGGCGAGGAATACACGGCGATGGCACGGAGCTTGGGATCGGGACCGAGCGCCGTGTCGCCATACCGCTGGAAGACCTCAAAGTTCTCACGGGCCAGCTGAGCAAACTCTTCCATACTGGTAGCACAGGAGACCCGGAGACGTCACTAGTATTATATCATAGTTCGGGTGAATACAACAGCAACATGGATGCCTTTTTCTTAGTTGATACTACGATAGAATATAGTGAAAATGAAGCACAGAAGCAATTGAGGCGTTGGCTATCAGTCACTCGGTTACCTCACGAGTAATCCTGTCTCCGGAAGGATGAGTAGCAGCGGGGGCTGAAACGGATGCAACTCAGCCAGCGATGTCTCCTCCTGACCCCAGCACATCTCCACCTCCATACTCTTACATCCCGGTAGCATTGTACTCAATGGTGTTAAGGTCTGGTGAGGGAACAGACAAGACACTAAGGGGTGCTCTTATATCTCCAAAATGTGCTAAAAAGAAATAGTTGTAAGAATAGAATGGTAGTAATAGATGATCAGTACTATAGGACATGCCGGCTAAGTATACCTAATAGATAAAAAGAAAAAAATAATGAATTAATTACACCAAGATTGATGTAGAAAAATAAATGCATCAGCCGCGAATCGAACGCGGGGCCCATCGATGGCAACGATGGATTTTACCACTAAACCACTGATGCTTAGATGTTAAAAATGCGGGACTTTTCCATACTTGTAGCAATGTAGCATCCCATGCCGCTATGTAGAAACAAGCGGGAATAACTTCTAGCGCCTATCACTCACCAGGTCACTACCTAAGTATCCGGGTGCTTTTCATCTTGCTACGAATTGAATACTATAAGTTTCTAAATAAGCCCACCTCTCTTTACTGCAACATTTCCTCTAGGAACTCTTCACATCAATGCCAATTTTCCAGATGCGCCGACCTTTCTCGTCGCGTCCCAAGTCCTGAAGATCCCCGCTGTTTTCCGATTTAACAGGGCGTTCTTCGCCAACGGGTAACACCAAAGTGACGCCGTTCTTAACCCACAACGGCTCGAATTGGCTGTATTTTTGTAATTCTACTTTGGCGCGGATCTCGTCGCTTGATGCGCCGTAGGAAATACTAATCTCGCAGAGCGTTGGCTTTTCCACGGGACTTACACCATTGTCCTCAAGCCATGTGTTGTGGAACCATTTCGTCTCCGCGAGCGTGTTGGCAGACGCTGAGAGTTCATTGCCCTTAGGCCAGTGAGGGTATTGAGCTAGTGGCGGAGGGAAGACCTCAACCGCTCGGTAATCATCATTCCCCATACCTGGGAATTCCGGGTCCTCATCGGCGAGACATGTAGTCGGCCTGGGTTTTCCTATAGGGATAGCAGACCCGATGCGCGCAAGAACGGGGATCGAGCTATGCCAAGTCGAAGAAATCTCGTGCCACCTACCGGCTTCGAGGTATTGATACGGCGCCGAAATGTTCAAAAACCCCGGATCGCTCCCGCTTTGATTTGGGAGATAGACCTTTGCACTTGAGACTCCGGGTTCATAGACGCCTGCGATGAGTAGAGCATCCCCGAACCAGTATTGCGAGTCCCCTTTGAGTAGCTCCTTAGTCCAAACTATAGGGTCAGACTCATAACCCCAGCCGGTCCATCGTTGAGGCGGAATTGCCTCCCGATGGGACTTCAGCATGAGGGAGTACGTATACGGCACTAATTCGTATCTGCGCTGTATCGCGTCTCGAATAATTGGCGTTACGGATGGATATTGCCACGGCTCAATGACCTCGCCTATCAAGTTATCGTCTGGATTGGTCTTGTAACAATTGATAGCGAACCGTGGTGAGTGGATGCCAAGTTGTATCCAACGAACGAGATGCTCTGGCGTCGGCTGAGGACCTTCGAACCCGCCAATGTCATGGCCATAGCACTTTATAAATGAGACAAAGGACTTTTAGGTGTGATAAGACTAACTTGACACTTACCTGAAGTAGAGAGAAACCTGCGTTTAACGCCAACGCATTTGCACCTTTCATCCCTTCCCAGCTTGTTACGTTGTCGCCGCTCCACGAACTGGCGCAATATCGCATGGTACCTGCTGTCGCGCTACGAGTGAGAACAAATGGACGGACCTCTGGTTCGGCTTCAATTGTCGCATCATGAGAGCTCTTCCCCACGAGCTCGGTATGTAGTGCTCTACCCCAGAGTCCAACATGTTTACGAGATTCACCGGGCGGTACGGTGACAGTCTCGAGAGCGCATTGCCAATCGTCGTTAGGGAGGTTGTATTCGTTATTATCATTCCACATGGCATCGATCCCAACCTCCTTAAGAGCCTTTACCCCATTATACCACCAGTTGTATCCCGCCTTGGATGTGAAGTCAAGATGACTACCTTCTCCACTCTCTCCTCCCCCGGCGCTCCAAAGTCGCGTGACTGCAGTAGTTGAAGTATTCGGGTCCTTGAAGAAAGCACCAGACTGCGAAAGCTCTGCATACGCCGGATGATTTGCGAGGACATACGGCTTAACGTTCGCTAGAAGACGAACACCATGCTTGTGGCACTGGCGTGTGAATTCCCGCGGATCCGGGAAACGGTGATGGTTCCAAGTGAAAACATTCCTAGTCTTGGGCTCGGTTTCGGCTACTGTATATCCCGAGCTCATCTGGAAAGCTGAGCACGGCATACCATGTTTTTCACAGTTCTTGAAAAAGTTGAGGATCGAGTCACAAGCGCGCGGAGAATCTTCCATGCTATATTTCATGCCGCCACCGATGTAGCCCATCATGTACCGAGGGACAAGCAATGGAAAGCCTACCAGTTCGGCATAAGATCGAACAATGTCCGCCACTGTCCTCCCAACGATGAGGTACTCTTCAAGCCCACCGTGAGCCTGCCGATAGACCTTGTAGTGACCCCACATTCCATCTAATTCGGATCCAACAGCCCAAGTCGCTCGGGCATGAGAAGTCGAAAAAATGCCCACGCAGCCATTGGGAGTGACATTGATCAATAGAGGGATATGCTTGTACAAGGGGTCCGTCCGGTAGGCATCGTATCCAAAGGTATCACTTGCTGTTATATTAAACCCCCGACCGCTTAGATCCATTGGTGCGGCCTTCTCTCCGAGTCCGACATGCAGACTATCCGACTTGTAAGTCGTGTAATGAGCAATGCCGGAGCCATCCACAGCGTATGATCGGAAGTCTAGGTCACGGTGGATCGGCTTCTGCTGGTCATCTAGAAAGAGAGAGACAATTGGTGTGTTTGACCAATTAAGATCAACTTTGACGTATCCGAGTTTTATAGTTTGAGAACGTTTATCCACGTTAACATTGATCTCGGGAGTAACACCGCCAAGGATAGGTCCCGGACGCTTTGCGCTGGGATGTGGTGGTAATAGGTGTTGAGCGGTTGTGAAAGTGGTGCGAAATACATTTGGACGCAGCGCTTCGAATCTGAAATTGCACGTCTCGTGGCTATTCTTGCCTTTGGAGAGGAGTGTTAGGGAGGGAGTCTTCTCCGAGCTAGTCTCGTGCGAAGTGTCCAACACATAGTTGGTTGGTATATATTCGTACTGCTTGAACATCTTTGGGGTTTATACACAACAGATGGTAAGTGAGCGATGGGAAAAAGGTGTCAGAGAACTTGATTTTCGAGAAGCCATATGACTTCTAATAAGAGTCACCTGGAGTAGAATTGAGACAGGGGTCTAGCATGGAATAGAGTCTCGAATATGTTCATCGCAAGTTCCTACTAGGATTCCGAGTAAATATAGGCAGTACCGTATTGATAGCTCAAGTATTAAAGTTACTAAGACTTAGGTAGGTACCTAAAGTTGAGATTACATAAGAAAACCCCGATGAAGGTTTAAAAGAGAATCCCTTTCGGAGGCAGGCGGAGCGGGGATGGAGATGATCCAAGTTGGAGAAGACACCGCGAGGTCTGAAAACCAGACTATTATCCCACATGACTATGTCTAATGCATACCTAATGTTTATGCCTCTTACTCCGCAAGAACTTCTATGCGGGGCTCCGATCACTTAGACCACCCAAGCACGGCATTTCACGACGGCGGGAGGGACTTGGCTCTTTAACGTCGCCGCATCCGTGATTGGTGCTATTTTGAAGTTGTTGCGTAGCCGGATTAACCAATCACGGTCGAGAATGGGCCAGGTTGGCCTTCCTCGGACAGAGATAGGCCGGCGGTACCGGTTCAAGCTTGGCATATTGCCGTAGCCCCCGGCGCCGGATGTTTCGATGGAAGATATCCAGTGCAAGAATAATCCATTAGGCGCATACGTCATCCCGTATTTAGGAATAGCTACCTTACTTAGGTACGTAATGGAGTTCATATGTCAATTCTAGATCCGAAATAGGAGTTCGACGTCGGCTTGCCAATGAGCTAGTCTAAGATAGGGTTAACTGAGCGTTGGGGAGTGATCTTGTTGAAGCCCCTTCTCCTATAGAGGTAGCTTATATCGCCGAAATAGGGGCGAAATAAGCTCTTACAATTATCAAATATAGATCAAGCTTAATGATATAGAACCCCTATGTCTGCTTTGAGTTGTTATTTTACGAAGAACAAAATATAGGTTCAAGTTAAGTATCTTAGGTACATTAGGAGGTAGTTACCTACCTAGGTAGGTAGGTACTCAATTATGCTAACTCAAGAGTAGACAACTTCTTATCATCTAGTTAGTATTTACATCCAATAGACAGCCCGGTGCTTCTTCTCTAGAAACTGGCACTATATCTTCTTCTCCGTCCTCTTCTTCCGGTTCTGAGCCGCTACCTTCAGACTCAAATCCGGACTCGTAGTAATCTCCTCCTGCCTCAAACTCATAGCCAGGTCTTAGGAGACAGCAAATCTCATGACAGCCACATTTTATTGCCAATGTAAACGCTGACTCCCCCTCCGCACTCACCGCATTTGCGTTTGCTCCTCGTTCTAGTAGCATCTTGGCTATCCCGTATTCCCTCTGGCAGACTGCTGTTAGCAACGGCGTAAACCCATCATTGTCCGATCTTTCAGTATCAGCCCCTGCTTTGAGTAACGTCCGCACGAGTTCTTCGTCGCCGCCAAGAACAGCAAGATGGAGAGGCACAAACCCTACGCGGGTCTTAATGTTTAAATCGGCCCCCTTCTCAATTAGTATCTCGGCTGCGTTTCGTTCTCTATAATCAGCAGCGAGGGAGAGCGGAGTGTTCCCTAGCCTGTCAATTGCGTTGATATCGGCTCCCGCTTCCAGAAACATTCTAACCATATCACATTTACCGAAATTAGATACTATATGGAGTGCAGTCCTGTCCTTCCTGCCTCCAGGTTTATTGACGTCGGCTCCATTGTCGAGAAGCAACCGGCAGATTTCCTTTTGATACCAGCCAGCTGCTACGGAGAGGGGGGTCATATTTCCCCTTTGGTACCCGTCAAGATCCAACCCGTCTGAAAGAAGAGCCTGGACTTTGTCGATACGGCCTCGACATATAAGGTCTAGAGCACCGGTAGCTGCGAATTCGTAGTCCCCTTTCTCTTCTGCCTGTTGTTTTTTCCATGCCTCGAGAGATGGGTTTTTTTTATCCTGTTCCACCCGCTTAACTATTGCGTCCCCGCCATGGGTTTTCTCTTTTAAGATTTGTTTTACCGATTCATGATCCATCCAACATGCTGCCTCTAAAGGGGTCCACTCATCTGCATTGACCACATCAGCTTTAGCACCTCGCTCGAGGAGCAGTCGTACCATATCATCCCGTCCATTCAATGCAGCAGCGTGAAGCGGCGTGCGCTGTAAATTGTCCTTGGGATTAATTTCAGTAGCTTTATCAAGAAGCAGCCTCATAATCTCTTCAACTCCATTGTAAGCAGTGGCGTGAAGTGGAGTTATTCCATCTCGATTGCCTAAATCAGGCTTCGCTCCCCGATCTAGAAGTAACTTCACTGTGTCTTTATATTCACCTGGTGCGGTCCAATACAAAGCAGTGTATCCGTACTCATCGGCCGAATCAACATCGGCTCCGTTATCTAACAGCTTAGTTGCTATTCCTTGATAGCCTGATGGGGCTGCCGAGTCAAGTGGCGTCCATCCCCATTTACTCTTTAGTTTTGGATCAGCCTTATGGTCTAGCAGCTTTTCTACCACAGCTTCTAGGCCTGCCTCTGCCGCATAATGTAAAGGCGTCGATCCATCTCCATCTCTTGCGTCAATGTCGACATTTGCTTCAGTAATAAGTATTTCGATCACCCCTAGGCTATCAGGGGCAATCGCGCAGTGTAACACTGTTCGTTTATCCTTGTCTCGGGCTGATACATCGCTCCCCCGATATATTAGTAGCCTAACTAGTTCCTCATGCCCTCCCATCGCTGCCATCATTAATGCCGTTCGGCCCTTGTCGTCACAAATATTAACATCGGCGTCTTCTTCGATGAGAACAGTGGCTATATCTCGTAAGCCAAGCTGTGACGCGAACCATAAACCATTAGTATTTCTAGCATAGACCTGACTCCGCCCACGGAACTTGTAGTTGTTATCCTTTATGGATTTTGCTTGAACGGCACTGAGGAGTAATCCCTCAACTCCGAGGAAGTTAAGAATATGGTCTTTAAGTGCCAATTCAAGCCTACCACGCACGTGCTCCCCCCAATGTTGTGCTGCATATGAGTAGAACAGGTTCTTATCTAGGCGGTTTGCGAAAGAATCGTCATCGTTACAAGGTCCGTTGGAAAAGATATCATCAGAAATATATGAGAGGCAAATTTCTGCCAGGTCCGCATCAATATCGAATGGAATTTTTGCACAACAGGTGCTAACAAGGTACTCCTTCACAGTCGCATGTGCAAGGGCGACAAGCCTAGTCTTTGACTCGATAATGACAAGACCATGGCAAGCGGTCAGCATGTCCTGTTCTCGAATATTGAATTCGCCCCTTGACCTAGCTCGGGGAGATTTAGCGCCTATAAAGCCACTCATAGCCAATGCGTCTTGTATTTCTTCGAAACGAAGGGGTCTCTTCGCACGCAGAACCCAACCGAGTGTGCGGAATCCAAGACGCCGTCGTATTCCCATATTGTCACTCGAGTTGATACGGTCCATTGCCTCATCATAGAACTGTTCCTCAGTCTTTCCTGGCTGACGCAGAGCCTCGCGAACATCGCCGGGTGACAAATACTGCTGTATTTCGTCCATTTGTAGTCGGACCAAGTTGAATCTGCAAAACAAATAGGCAATTAGCTTAGCCGGTATAAAAATTATAGATCAGTCAGATTTAAGACTTACATGCCGGAGTATTTGTCAAGAATTCCGTTGATGATTTCGTCTCTAGAAAGATTGCCATTTTCGATCCACCTTTGTAAATAAGTGCTCCCGTGCTGCTCATCATTTATTCTCCAGTCAATATAACTCTTTACGTCATCTGGTAAGGGAGATATCTCCATTGCTTTGAAATAAGCCCCTAACCGTGCTGCGTCCTCCTTTAAACAGTCAACTGCACCGACGTGCCGTGATGTGAATAGCAGGTGTACATTAAAGGAGAGTAGCGTCTTCACAAACGTATCGCGTACGCTCATGTGATTCTCGTCGTATTCGATACATTCGTCTAGGGCATCAACCACGATAAAAGTGTGGTTTAAATTGCCGAGAAGTTTTCGGATGAGTGACTTGTATTCGGACAGCCCTGGGATTCTCCCTTGATAAGAGTAGCTATCGTAGAAAGACTCAGCATCCTTCATAAGGGGGTTAGGTCGATGGAATGGAAGTTCTGTCAGTTGTCTTGCAATGCTTGATATAAACCATATTGCAGTCTGCTGGCCTTCATCCGCAATGCTGCAGTATATATAGGCAATGCCAATTTTGTCCTTGGGGTTTTGGAAAGCATTTCTAAGTCTTCTTTCCTCGAGATGTGTCACAATTTGAGACCTATACAGTTCCACTGGTTATGATTTATAGTGTATAACGGAGCATAAAATACTTACGCAATAAATGTCTTTCCAGCCCCAGCTAAACTGCTGTTAGTTTGGTACCATATATAAAGTTAAACGGTTTAACTTACGCAATCCAGTACAGCACAAGACTCTGGCGTTATCAGTTGGACGTTCCCTTTCCCATTCCCTCCACTCCCTGAAGTTCTCATTGTCCAATACCCATTGCCCTATATTGGGCATTCGCCGGGCTGAATATTGTTGCTGCTTCTCTCTATAGGATGTATCCACTGATATGGAGGTCAGAATCCTATCGTCTTTGTTCTGCTTGATCCATTTGAAGAGGTTGATTTGCATGTCTCTTTCAACTTGCTCGTCTAACCTCTTGCGAGCACTTTCAAATGATTCCTTACTCATAACCCACGACTCGCTGACTGCTTTACGAAGTGTTGATTTGTCTAAATGCTCTAGGCTCGCATTTAGGAAGTTGGTAGTCTCTATTAGGAATTCGCATGCTCGTTCTACCAGTTGGGAACTATTATCGAGTTCGCGGAGATTCTCGAGAAATGGCCCATAGTCATTCAACGCTTCTAATTGTTGTATAATATCTTCTCCCTGCTCGTGCACGTCCATGGCAGCCGAAAGAACTAGCTGCAAGCCGTTGGCGGCGATTTTCACGGGTGAAAAAGATGCAGCATCCGCACTGAAGGAAACGACCCCGAGAACCATTCTAGTGACGGGGTATAGCTTCGCTGCATAGTGTGTTAATTTCCCACGTGTCGTCTCGTCTCGTAGGAACCGTTGTCTGGCCACAACTCCTTCAATATACTCCCCGAACACTATCCCGGATTCTGGTGAAGTGCCAGCTTTCTGCATAGCCTTTATCATATCCTCAGTATCAAACTCAACTCCTTGGTTTTTATTACGTCTTTCATGCTCGATAATTGTGTTATTACGTCTTTCATGCTCGATAATTGTGTTATTGAGCCTTTCTGTGGCGTCCTCCAACTTCGATTTGATCACCTTGACTTTGTCTTGGCTCAAATGTTCGGTACTGAAAAGCTGGAGCCCGATATTCCCTGTTAAGGTATAAATACTCTGACTCTATGAATATCAAAGTTTAAGGTAGGATTACCTAGCGACGATCTTGAATCAGAGACATCCTCCCCAAGCCTATTTCTTATAATTTGATCTTGAGAGGCTAAAGTAACAGGCAGAGAGTGGCTATCTCGAGTTACGGTAGGCGGTTGATTTTTGTACAGTGTAGAAGGGCGGCTGAGCGAGCTCTCTCCCGGACTACCCGTCTCAGGTAAGTTTGGCAATTCTCTTCGAAAGATCTTCCGAAAAAGCCTGCGTTTAGAAAATGGAGCCATGATAGACGGTGCGAGTATGAATGAAGATTCGAGGTCGAAACACTCGGATAGATGGAGTTCAAGGCTCGAGGATTGCGCGATTTTTATGTAAACCAGGGTAAAGAGGAGAAGAGTGGCCAGCTGAAAGGTAATGAAACCTAATAATCAGTTATGGTTATCTCCCCAATTACCATTTAGTTACACCACAGCCTGGCTGCCCTGATTGGTTACAAATGCATATACCAAGCTGTCAAGTTATCTGTATAAGCCTATAGTTAGATATACATTTACCCGTAACTTCTTCGAGTGATCTAGGGCTAGACAGCCGTACTCTTTTAAGCGTATTATTTGCAACAGCCTTATACGTACCTAAGGTATTTATATATTAAAGAGTACCTTAGTTTAGAGTTTGCCTTATATAGTAGCTCAGCTGATTATGTAACGTAATGAGTTAGGTTATTGAGGCTAGCTCTGTGACAATAGTTAAACATATTAATTATAAGTCTAGGTTGTAAATAAATTGATAGTACTCTCACGAAATTATGCTAGTTTAATTTATTATCTGGTTGGGAACATCCCTTAGCAAAGACCCTCAAACTAAAAAGTCGGATCGTTTATAAGGTAGCTTAAAGAATAAACCCCTTCCTTGGATGTTTCTGTTTTAGTGGATTCTCGGTATTAACAAATGACTTGTTATGACTTTCTTAACTCCACTTGATTAATAGACACTAGTATGCCTAAAGTTTCCGCATAGAGCGAAGTATGACTTAATCCCTAGTTAGACTTGTCCAAAATTAGATGCTGTCATTCTACTACAAAACATCGATTTGATGTCGTCAGAATCAGGTGCTTTATTAATTACCGCGCAGCTCTATACTGGTCACTTGAGTAGGATATAAGGGACTGACTGGTGTATGACTTATATGAAGACTGAGCGTGATTCGTGAAAACCCTTGGAAGGATTTGATATGTAAATATTTCCATATGCCACAGAATCTTTGTAGCGTACCTACCTATATAGAGGTTTTGTTTACATTAGGAGATGGTGACGAGATCAGTCAAAGGTATATAAAATACATATTTTCTAATTGAAGACGTTCGTTGGAGAATTATCTGGACTCTATCTAGGTTAGACAACGTCTTATGAACTTCACCATATTGATGTTAGGTCTGGATTAGCTCGCCTGGGCCTTCGTAATCCAGACTAACAACTGGAGGCTTTGAAATGGTCTGCTTGGATAGGCCAATATGTGAAAAAATTATGGACCTTATCCTTAGAATAGCTATACTAAGCCTCTAGCTCTTAATGTACGCATTGCTACTGAGATAGCTCGCCAACTATTACACCCGACATGTTGGCGACTCTCTTGGAAGTCGTACTGGCTCGGGAGGGTAGTTATGTCACCAGCTACTCATGTGAGACCTTTACTCACGAAGAAAAAGCAAGTGTCACCTACAAACCAGCTATGTGAAGGTGATGCTAATTATTAATTTGTGGTTTTTGGAAATGTGAGTTATGATGTTAGCGTTCTGTTGAATATCTTCTATGTATGGCCGCGCGGCGGATGTATTATTACGAAGGAACTTAATCTTGTCACTGTTTAATTGTTCTATAAAATATTTCAATTCAAAGGTAGGATTTGAAGTATGCTATGAAAAACAATATTGCGGAAATGATTACATCGTTAACGGGAATGCAGGATACCCCGAGAAACCTTTCCTCAAATCATTTAAAAAGGGGGAGGTTCGCCTTCCGTTGGTTAACAAAATAAATAATTTAATTATTCAAAAGGGTATCACTAGCCTAGACCTATCTATCTCTAAGCCAACCCAATTAATCTTACGCCTCTATTATACGGAGTATTGGATCTATCTATTCCCAACCGTCCCAAGAAGCATATTGGAAGCCCTGACAGAGGTTACGCTTGCGTTTCCCAACACCAAGATAGAGCACTGTGTGACTCTAATTCCCCTTATTGCCGTATATCGACACCGATGCTCGCAAAATATTGACAATGGGTTTGGGTGTCTGGCGCTACGGTTTCCATGGTCGTATTGCCGCCTGTCTGAAACAAGAGCCGGTTCTGTTTTCCCTCGTTCCATTTCTTCCAAACTGCCGAGCCGGGGTGTCGATGCGTATTCGGATCAAATGTACGGATGAAACTCGTCCAATACGCTTGAATGACGGGGATGACTGGAACGTTAATGCCGTCATTCACATAACTCGCCGGTACACCCCCAACATTCCCCGGACCCCAGATTGCTGCCAGCTCTACAGTATGAGGCACACCTAGCCCCTGGGCGACTTGGTCCGGATCTTCGACGTTGTAGCGGTAATTGTATGAGTGGCCAACTCCGTATTTCCTCATTGCTGAAGATATGTATAGTCCCGGACACGTATACCTCATATCACCATAAACGTCGCTGACCTGGCGCCAGTAGCAGCCGGTGCTAGGGCAGGTGTCATTCTTATTTGGATACATGGAGCTGATCTTGTCTAGTTGATCTTGAGTTAAATATGGAAACTGAGCACGCAGAAATGCCTGGCTTTCAGCAAGCGTCGATGTGCTCCTTGGTGTGAAGACTGTCCCCCCATTGGTATCATCGCCGTAGATCACGGGGATCTTGACAAACTTGCCTTTGGCGAATGAGTTATACGTGTAGTCCGTGAGAAAGTCGTAGTCGAGTACCGGGTTCCAAGAATACAATGGCTTCGACAACTCACCTGGATAAGGCAAGCCTGTATTTTGGCTCTGGAGTTGTGTAGCAGTCTTATTTCTCAGACAGTCGAGAGAATTAGAACCCGAGCATCCGACAAGGGCCGAGAAATTATTATAAAGGTACTGACTCTCATCGACGGTAAGGACCGTGGCGAATGATACCGACTCGGCCGCAGCGGCGTGGAACAAGTCGGTCTTCTTGCCATCGTATGCTACCATTTGAAGACTGATGCTAGCGGCGCCCGCCGAGTCGCCGCCTAAAACCACGTGTCCCGGATCACCACCAAACTGGGATATGTGGTTGTGTACCCACTCAAGTGCTTTCCGCTGATCGCGCAGACCATTATTAGGCGTAATATTATCCCCATCAGTGATAAATCCATACGGGCCTACACGATAATTGAAGGTGACAACGACAATGGAGTTCCCGCTAGCTTCAATCAGACCGGATCCATTAAGATTCGGATTGCTGAGAACATTGAATCCTCCGCCCTGGATAAAGAAGTATACGGGTAAATTGGAGTTCTGAGTCGCGCCGGTCGGCGCATACACATCGAGAAACAAGCAATCTTCTGCATGGCTACTGTCTGGCGGGGAGTTGCTTGTTGACAGGCAAAGCTTCCCATGCTATTATAAAGGCAAGGTCTTAGCAATGGGTTCTTCTATATGAATTTAGAGCTATAAATTCCAGCTAGGAAACACGTACCTGATCAGCTACTTGTGTTGTGTTGTTGCATGGCGGATCCTGCGGAGGCATAAACCTCAGGTTACCGACCGGCGGCGCGGCGTACCGCATGCCAAGCCATTGCGTGATGCCGTTCGGCGTAGCTACGCCGACATACTTGTTGCATGTCAAATCGACAGCAGTATCAACAGCGACTACAAGGCAGCACAAGTGGCACAGCACGAGAATAGCTACCTTTATCGTGATCATTGAAGCTCCACGGGCCTCGGAAACCTCCGAGCGAGAACTCGACGATATGTAGCGTGGATTAGGGAGGGAATGTAGGAGAGCGGCATTACCCAGGATCTAGGTATCGCGGCCTTCATATACTTGGTATACGAGGAGAGCATCACTGGAGATAGGGTACTGTATGGAGACCAGAGGGCGGGCTAATAAGCATTCCACGACATCATCTGACGGGATTCCACTCCGCCTTACGCCCTCTAGCTCCGAGGTCTGTTCTCACCTCCCTGAGCTCCCTGTCTCCATGTCCCATGTCTCCCATGTCTCCCTTTTTTGAGGTCTGAGGCTGCGTGACCCTGCAAGCTGACGGCATTCTAAGTTGTTGGACAGCCTGTGCATATTCTCTCGGGCCTAGACTAAAAAGCGCGAGTAGCGTGAGCAATCAACAGTATGGCCGCGTGACTTATAGACTGTAGGAATTCGGGTGTAGATGGTAACATTTAAGCGCCGCCGTTGTGCGGGTCGCGGAACGCCATGCAGACGGCATGTTGACTCGAGATACCTAGAGAGATGCAAAATTTGGAGAAGTAGAAGTAAAGAAGAAGTACTAGGTACTATGTATTGGAAGTATTCGGCATCGGATAGGTATGGGTTTGTGGGGGAACAGGGGAATAAACTTTTTAGAATTGATGTGCTGTGATGGGTGCAGGGGTGATGGGTGATGGTCCTTGCGAACCGTAAACTCAATCCAGCGATTCATCGAAATGTGGGACTCTTATGGGGAACCCCAGAACAAAGTTTTGTCTATCTTCGCCCAATCGGCACTTAGGGCTGTTAAGCTAACGTACCAAATAGGTTCCGATGGTGGTACAACGTGCTACGTTAGGTACCTAGTAACTACCTAACGTATAAAAACAGTTAAATCTTGGCTCCCCTTGCAGATGGCTTGCATATATCGATAGGGGGATTGTCATTAATACGTTAATACGAGAGATTGGTAAACATTTAGGTAAATATTGTTTAGGTACCTACCTATTGCTCTTTCTGTTCGGATGTTGTAAGCTACCTCTACCGAATTTACTTACCTATCTTCTACTAAACTTAGCCAAGAGATGACCAAGATATCTACCTAGCAATAGCCGCGTAAGTTCTTACGCATAAAACACATAAAACACATAATCATTGACCCTTCAGTAAATTACCCTTCCAGCATCTTACGACCCTTCGATCCCACCCTGTCAAGCATTTTTAATAATTACCTAAGGCCCTTGCCTTGACTTAGACGCGACGTGATTATGCAAACGTATGAGCCGAATTCGCTAGTCTCTTAGTACGCGACTGTGCCGTTGCTTTTGAGTTCGGATAGTTCGTGTTTATACTGTAGTATCTCTTGGCGACATCTTGCAGATCGGATCTTCAAACCTGTTGAGTTTTCTCAGGTTAGAATGCAGGTACTTACTTAAAGTATATATAAAGTATATAATACCTATCACAAACAAGAGCCGCTGTCTCGCATCAATTTCTCGGATTATCTGAAACTTGTAAAGACGTGTTTGCCTGTAAAGCTCGGCTAAAACACTTAAGCGTGTTAGGAATGCAGCCCGATTCGGTGGAAATAAGGCCCAAACTTGACTATTTGCTCTGTTAGTTGATGTGGCATTAGGTACCAACATATACGACAGCCCCTGGCCTATGCAGATTACCGACGTCAATTTCCTGTTCTAATACTATAAATACCTTGGTAATTTACCAAGGCAAGCCAGTGTACACCCCGAACGTTGCATCTCGTACAACCTTGCCTATGTAGCCATCTTTTCAACCCCCCATACATGTATTAATTTTATTCCACATAGCATTTATCAGCATTATGTGGGAAATTTTCATATCATATCTTAGCTGTGGCATGTTAAAGATAAAATTCAAGTCATGCAATGAAGATTCACCATATATGTATGTCTTTACAAATGCTTCTACAACCCTATTACTTAATTGTTATAACAAATGTCTCCGTTCGTCCCGAAGGCGCAGCAGTCTTAAGCAATTGTCAAAGCTCCTAATGCTTTTCAAATACGATCAATTATCATTATCTCATACGCTCTTCATCATGTTATTTTATCACATAGTCGTATCCATACACCGTAGCCAACACACACATTGATCTAATATGTAAATGTGGCTGTTTTCTTTAAGCACATGCATATATTCTGGCTTAGATGAACAATAACGATGACTATTTACGCTATCCTCAGCCGCGTAAAAGGTAATATTTATCACCGTGGTCTCCTATTCCGGATGCGAGACGTCGAATTGAAAAACAAATTACAAGACATTCTTAGGCTAATACCTTATGATAGCTCCATTTTCTCCTTGGTCTTCAAAGTCATAAGACAGACCATAGGCCTTTCAATGGCCCTATGATACCAACAACCCCATAATTCAAAAACCATTCCCCTGAGGCTACCTAATATTTCAAGGTTTCCTTATTCCGAGTTAACCTCGTATCTCATTATGGGCATACGTCATAGTTACTAAACTGTATGCTACCGTTGATACGAGGAATAACATCCTCCATATGCTTGGCATTTCCAATAGAATTTCCGATGAAACTTATTAAGCTCTACTATTGATTTCTACTATGGTATCGTCGCGAAAGGCTTAGGCCACGATAGTATCATGTATACGAATAAGTTAATAAACCCCTATCTACTTCGTACTTCCTCTTAAACAAAACCAGAATTTTCTTTTCTTTTCTTTCTTTTTTAAATTCTTATCAAAAAAATCAAGCTCAAGCATCTCCGCATCTAGAGGAATGTCTCCGCCGGCGAAGTTCATGCTTCGGTTATCGGGTCAATGATGCTCAACTATTTACCGTCCAAGACCGAGTATACCGGGCGTGAAACCGGCGGTCATGATCACAAGCATGGCAATTGGTCCAGACCGATCTGTGTCTACCGCAGGGAGATAAGTTCTGCGTGTGACCTTTAATCCTTGACAAACACGCGACGGCGTGCGGAGTAGAAACCACCATTCTGGTATAGAATGAGTGAGCATCCTGGTCCTTCCCACTTACTCCTCATTGCCGGACCTGGCTCTCGGTAACACACATTTACATCATATGCTTCGCTTATATCACAAGCCATCGTCAAGTTGCGGGTGGGAAGAAAACATCTTACGATACCGCAATACCCGTTAAGATGAGCGTGACCAAAGCATCAGCAACAGAAACCGAATATGCAACTCCATTGCCAGACCACCATCAGGAAGAACATGATGGCAATGGCAGCAAGGACATCGCAGCCTCATTTCTCGCAAAAAATGTTGCGGGACAGAGAATATCTGTAACTCCTGCCGAATCGGCGCGTGTCCTACGGCGCATCGACGCCGTCATACTCCCCATCATGCTGACAGTATACTTCCTGCAAGGCCTCGACAAGACGACACTTGCATACGCTTCAGTATTTGGGCTGATTGAGGACACCGGACTTGTGGGCGACCAGTACAGTTGGTTGGGCAGCATTGTATACCTAGCGCAGCTTGTCATGCAGCCACCGCTGGCGTGGTTACTCGTGCGCTTACCTATCGCCAAGTTCACGAGCGCTATGGTGCTCCTATGGGGCATATCTCTCACATGCATGGCAGCTGCGCATAACTTTGACAGCCTGCTAGCCACGCGTTTCTTCCTGGGAGTGTTTGAGGCGAGCGTTGCGCCTAGCTTTGTTGCTATTACGCAGATGTGGTGGAGGAGACGAGAGCAGACTGTAAGAACTAGTTATTGGTAGTAAGTACCTAACCTACGCTCCAAAATTTTCCGATAGGTTGTATATTCTCGCTGGGAGTACAAGACGCTTTTGGCAGACTTGTATTGGATGCATCTGCATTTCATAAGTGTATTGCGACTTCGAAGACGACCCCTGAGGACGTGCAAGATGGGATCAAATATGTTAACATTGTACCCTATAGCGCTATGAATGGATTTACGAATATGGTGAGTTAGATCCAGCATCTTATAAAGGGTGAGTTGACTAAAGACGACGAAGTTCGGTAGTTTAATCACCTACGGCCTAGGCCACATATCATCGCAACTACGTTCCTACCAGGTAATTGAGCATTAATATGTGACCACATTTACTACTACGAAGGCTAATAATAACGCATAGATCATATTCCTGTTTTTTGGAATTATCACCGTTGCATATAGCTTTATCATGTTGGCCTTTATGCCAGACTCGCCGGTAGAAGCAAAGTTTCTAAGCGACGAAGACAAACTGATAGCCGTTGAGCGGTTGCGCATGAACCAGATGGGAGTGGTATCACGCGAGTGGAGAAACGATCATCTCAAGGAGGCTCTACTGGACCCTAAGTCGTGGCTCTGGTTCGCGCTGTTATTCTCAATCAGTATTCCGTCCGGTGGGATCTCAACATTCGGACCGCTGATCATAAAGACTTTTGGATTCGATCCATTCGGGACTATCCTCTTCAACATCCCTTTTGGGTTCGTACAGCTGGTCGCGACTGTTGGCGGGGCTCTCGTAGCCCAGAAAATCAAGATGAAGGGACCTGTTATCGCCGCGCTTTGCCTACCCCCTATAGCCGGTTGCGTGATGCTTATGGTGCTTCCCAGAGATGTTTCTCACCGAGCACCCCTTTTAGCTGGGTACTACCTTATATCTGTTTATCCAGGAATTAGTGAGTACCACAGTGAGATATTCCCGATTCAAGTGCTAACAAATGCTTCAAAGCCCCGCTCATTTACTCTTGGGCATCGCAAAACACGGCTGGAGATACTAAAAAGAAGTGTACCAATGCCATACTGTTCATCGGTCAATCTGTGGGAAATGTGGTCGGCCCGATGTTATACTCACAGACAGAAGCGCCAGGTTATACCAAGGGCCTGCGTTCGAACCTAGCGCTCTATATTGTAATTAATCATCGCATTGGTCGGGATAACTACTACATGCCTCAAGGTCCTGAATGCAGGTCATGCTAAGAGACGGGTAGCTATGGGCAAAAGTGCTGTTATTGTTGATACCAGCCTAGATTCTGCAGAAGTGGCAGCGGCGCAACAAACTCGCGATGATGTGGATAAGAACGCTAAGAACGCCGAGGAAGGTGATGTCGCTGTCGCTTCTAACGAGGGAGTGGAAAGGCCTGGTGAGAGAGCATTTGAAAACCTAACTGACCTCCAGAACGAGGAATTTGTCTTCGTCTTCTAAGTTACTAGAAGTATTTTAATACTTTCTTGAAGAAACATTCATGATATTCCAAATATTTAAAATAAAATCATACACAAGTTTAATCATGCTATTATGTCCTAGATGGGATTAAGAAAACAGATAAATTCCGTTTCTCGCTTGTACCCTAATACTAATAGGTGTAAGCTTATAGAGCTTCCAAGATTGCGGCCAAAATTATTTATTATATCTAAGCAATTTTTTGCTTCTCGTAGATCTTCAAGCCATTGAACCGGTTGGTCATGTTATTAAACTCGTAAATCTCTAAGTCTAAACAGTCGTCCACTTTAAACCTATTATAGTCATACTATGTCGACAAGTATGTTATACAAACCCTTAATTTGATACTATATAAATCCACTTATGCTATGGAAGTTATAAGAATCAGATAGTATTAATTACAAGGTACTCGCTAGACGCATTGTATTTGAAGGATCGATGCGCCTTGTTTTGAATTTAGGGTACTCTCTTAATGTGTTATGGTGCTATTGAGCTAAGTTTCTACCATTTTGTCTATTCCTAATGGTGACTATTATCATTGCTAGGTTGTATGATCAGTTTCTTGGGCAATCCATTTTGCTCAAACGTTTCATTACCATAACAGATATGGCTCATATAAAGTAACTTTTCGTGTTTGACTCGCTAGAGAATACACGGCCAACTTAAAGCCGCAAGTTGCTTCATTTTAAGCTTCCCATCGTTCGTAGTGACAACCTGTCTTCAAATTTGCAAACGAGCTTGTCGAGTAAAAACTCTATAAGAAATTAATATGGACCGGACGTGTTCTGAGACCTCCCACCGCATAGTTCATAGGGTAATCCCGAATCTCTAACTTGTTAAGTGTTATAGATAACTCGGACGGGAGCTTAAAGGATAGTGATAAGACCAAGGGGAAAGGCCTTGAGAGTGTCCAGAAGATGGTTTTAGTAGGCTGGATTATGATAAATCCGAAACAAGAAAATTCTCTTTAATTACTTTCTAAACATTCTAAACATAGTAGATTTTGGGTAAAAAATGCAACCTTGGCAAGTAGTAACTTGGCTGACCCATTAACGTCTTCATCTTGATAAAATTATCCGATCTATCGATCATCGACGATCTCTCCACGGATGACGCCAGTCGTAACCCGGCCCTGGTTGTCGGTCGCTAAGGCTATTAGCGTCACTGGAGACCTGCAGATCTGGATCAGCATATCAACCCATTGTTGAGAGATCAGTGTCCGAGCCGCAAGTTAGCCTACCAGATTACGAATGGCTCTGGATCCTGGTTCTGGGGTCTGATAAGCCTAAGGGAACAAGTTTCTACCCACACCAACCCATAGCTCTGACGCAAGCTACATAAAGTATGCGTTCATGTGGCGTTTCTTCTAAGGTATGGTAAGCAAAATTTCTTACTAGAGGCATTACATCATATCGTATAGAATGGCTCGTGAGAATATAGGAATAGAAATAGCCCTCTTGATAATATAAATTGAAGCGAGTTCCGAGCTGTTTAAACAAATATTTATTATGTTCAATTCGGAATCTCTATCGATCTATTAACTGCCAAAATTTCAATCGCTTGCTTCACTTGATTACCAAGCTACATCCTACAAAACTTAGCTACTCCACAACCCACAACCTACAATGTCCAACAACAACCAGAATGGTGGACTCCTCGGCGGTCTAGTCGGTGGAGTTGACAACGTCCTTACTGGGGGCGAGAAGGCCAACGGCCAAGGCGGTCTACTCGGAGGTCTCGGCGGTGCCGTCGGCAGCACAACGGAAGGACTCGGCAAGGGCCTGAACTCGACTACCAAGGGAGTTGGAAGCGCCGTGGGCCAGACTACTGAAGGTGTTGGCAACACTGTCGGCGGCGTGACAAACTCTGTCGGGAGCACCGTTGGCGGTGTCACCGGCGCGGGCGGAGCCGCTAAGAAGAAAAACGACGGTGCATTTAAGAGCTACGGCATTTAATAAGGCGAGAGAGTTGGCGCATAATGGGATATGATGAACGAATACATATTTAATGAACCTGAGACTTGGAAATCGGATTTTGACTTGAGAAATGTCGGACGTTTAATAAAACGATATATCAAACCTCGAATTTAATTTAAATGATATAAATACTATCTTGAATATAGCGAAGATGCTCACAATACTGGATTGGCTTTTTGAATATGTAGGTTCTTGGTTAAAAACTTGATTACATTATGTCACTAACCTAGTAGTGATTGATAAAAGGGGGTGATGGTTGTGGCTCTCGTGGCTGTATATGGAGTTTTTCCGTGGCTTGACCTTCCTGTGTGAAGTCTCCCAAAACTTACGTAACCTACAAGGTTAAGGCTATCGATTACCTAGTGGGGTACTAACACCGCTAACACGTAGGTATTAATCGCAACATCAACTTCGTAATTGAGCAGCAATTGGGCCGTTTGACGTGTCCCAATTGCGCCAATTGCCCATATGGCAACCAACGAGGATGAGGATGCGTCGTATGTCGACTACGACGCCTTTCTCGACCCGGATTTTAGCCCCTCTTCTTTTGCTAACAGCCTTGTCCTCGCTACAAATAACCCCAACGATACTCCCCTAGACCTCTCAACACCGTTGTCTAAAGTGCTTTTCGATGCCCAAGAGGTCGACTCTCATATTGACCTTCTTACTACCCGATCCGCGATCCCTCTTTTAACGTATACCAAAGAGCAGACAGAAGCGAGTGGGAAGATAATATCCGAAATCGATAATCAGGTTAAGAGCTTAAACGAGAGCTATAAGCAATTAGAAAAGGAGGTTATACAAAAGCATGCCGAAGCCGACGAAGTACGTCAAGTTGCTGCCCGATTATGGGAAACTCTGAAGCTGGGAAGGTCTGTTGGTCGCTGTCTTCAGTTGGGTCGGCAGCTTGAAATCCAACATGCCGAAATATCTGGTTCAGCGTCTGCTACTACGACTGGTAGTAGCAAAAAAGAGGATCATAGAGCACTAGTACGCTGCGCACATACTATCTTATCCTTGCGGGAAATACTCGACAAGAAGGCACCAGGGGAGGAAGGCCACGGGCTCGATAAAGTCAACGCAATCAAGAGTTTACGGGACAATGTCGTAGACCCAATCGAAAGATCTGTTAAAAGCATCTCTGAACAGATTATAAGAGAATTCAGCATTGGATCTGCTTCGGGGACGGCTACTTTCGCACAGAGCGAGGAGGTCAAAGCTCGAACGATATCAGCCGTTATTTCTCTGTACCTCATATCGCCCATCACAGGCACGAAGCCTGATAAATGGACTCCTCAGCTACTCCTACAAATCCTCGAGGTATATTTGCGCAACGCATTACAGAGCTCCGTCGCATCGCTAGCCAGGTCACTTGCGACACTACCGTCCCTTGACCGGACTTTGGCGGAAATTTCTGCGCGATGCCAAAACATAATCGCCTTAGAGATCATCCTCGCTTCAACAAGTGCGCCTGCGCATCCACTCTTGCCGGCGCATAAGCATACGTTAGATAAATACAACCTTCTACAGCCTCTGCTGGCATATCTAGAGACTGGTTCGCTTGCATCTTACTTTTGGCGGACGATGGCGAGCAGCTTGGCAACGCGGGTTCAGGAGATTGTAAACCGCGGAGGCGTTTCAGCTCGTACATTGAAGTCGAACCGCAACAGCGTAGGAGAAGCTATCAGAGAATGCGTTATCCGAGGTAGTCAGCCTCCTAGCACCGTTGTGGCTGCCAAGGGGAAGACCTCGAAAGGAGATACCGAAAAGAGTGGCGGGTGGGATCGTGAAGTAGCGGTGATGGTTAGTAGTGTCGTTGGAAATCTCGGTCGATGATACCATTACAGCAACACCTAATCCAAGCTCCTACCCCGTGGAGCGGTACTATAATTACCTATGGACCGCTATTATAAACGAAATCCCTGGAGCAACTATTGATGCGAACCCCTTTTTTTCAGGGGAATACTTAAGAACAGGCTTCACCACCCGTGTAAAGGGGTATGAATATGTCGGTCGGCAATCCGAAAGTCTAACGCGTGGCCTCACCAAATCTTCTATAATAAATTTCAAAAATTGAGTTATATATTGGCTAAGATAATTAGAGCCAAATGTAGAGTGCACGATTGAAAGCACTATCGGCAGTGTTGCGGGGGTAACCGGGCCGTGAATGCCCTCATATAGCAATAACAGCATCTAATCCCGCAAATCAAAATCGCTCAATGTTTGATCTAGCCGAGTCGATACAATGTATATTGATTCAAGGCTACATAATTGTTATTTATGCGTCAGTCAAGTGTGTTTGTTCCTGGAGAGCTTTTGCGGCGGAGTTTATCGGGTTCTCGATATCGTGGTCTTACAGTTTGACTTACACAACAACTAACCTTAGGTAGATTATTGTGAGGTTAATTGCCTAACAACCCGGTCACACCCCGAGAGGCCCAAAGACGGGCCGTTTCACTGCAGTAGAGACATAGGCCGGTCTCGAACACGCAACCCGACATTCTACTGTGGTATGTACATACTCTTTTCAGGGTGTTTGGATTATATTGCATGCACCAATCGAGGTACCAGTATACGAACGGTACCGGTAGGAAATGTTTACCTGGAGAAGTTGTGTTCTGGTGACATGTAAGTTACTCATATCCGATTGCGGGTTTCCCGTTAGAGATGATTGCTTTTTGAGCATGTTAGGACAGGTAAGGGTTGAAAAGGTCCAATCGTGATCGATTCGATAGTGATTATGAGCGTACATAATTGATTGCTGCTTAGTACTGCGCACTAGGAATTCTCTGCTGTATACTGTTTACGCAGGCCTTACATGTACATACGTGATATACGATGTAAGACGTAAGGTACATGTACCTATGGGATAGATGTAGTGTAGTAGAGATGGTAACTATCTGATAAACCCGTTCGACCGATTAGCGATGATTACATGTTTTTTTCTTCTTCTGGTGTAGCTATTGGTATTAATGGTGTTCGTTCTTCTTCCCCATAAAATTACTTCCAACTATAAATACCCCTCGTCCAGCCTCGGTGCTTCCTTCTTTCTTGAAGTCACATTTAGGCTATTTTTTGCTTAGGTGTTACATGTCTAATACGTCATTAGTCTGAGGTACGTACCAATCCCGAGTTCAATAGCTCGCCAGCTAGTCCGGGGTCCCCGTTGGCCAATGCTTTTCCATGCTTTTCCATTTCTTCCTGGTTCATGATGATGTCTTCCACAAATTCTTCCCAGCCTGTCTTTCAGCATGTGCCAGCGTCACAGGCTCACAAAGTCTTACCCCACTACCGAACGAACACATAGAAATATCCATTATACATCTGCAATTATCTGCAATCACCTTCGTCTGGGGAGTTTTACAACTTATAATAGGTTAGCTCATCTAATTGCTCGTGCAACGTGCCTCTTATTCGGCTATCCCCCTTGTTTAATTGAGTCTCTTATGGTTCGTTTATTATAATAAGCACATGCTTCGTTGTACATACACACCTATATGTTTGATCTGCCCACTTTGAGCCCCGTACCCAGAACCGCCAAGTTTGAATCCGGGGACGAAGAAAGACCGAGATCAGATCACTTCGAGGCTGGCCTTGCTCTCTGTAGTGGGTTGCGTTGTTTGGCGCACTTCAGAACTGCAGAACTTGTCGTCAGGACGGTCAGGTAGCCCACATTGCCTAGGAGCAAAACCTCCTGGTTACATCTACCACACCTCCCGCCTATCAATAATCACTTATCAGGTATCATCACTTTGCTTCTATTGCCCCACTATCATACCTAAAGCTAGAATAAACCAATTATCACGACGACGATGATTGCCCCGCTATGAGTCCATGCCGTTCTGGCCTTCTAGATTCTGTTCTTCCACTACATACTTCCCCCCTACTTTACCTTACTCTTATTTGAACTTGCCAATGTCTACCTAATCCTCTTTTCTACGTCCTTCTTCTTGGCCTTGACTGCCCCGTCGGTGTGGTCCTTCGTCTAGTAATAACAGCCACCGCCAACATTCTCCCTCGCTACCAACGACCCCTCTAATCTATCAATTGTTGTTATAGCCCTGTGCTTCCCCCCTATCTCTCGTCACCGCTACATCTCTTTGTTTACTAGAACTTCGGGATCGCGACTTCACTCTACCATCTAATTCCTCAAGAAAAACTAAGCTGAACAATCATGGCAGAACGTGCACAAGAAACTGAGACCGCTGCTACCAACAACATTATAAAGGAGGCCGAACAAATGTCCCTCTCCCCCCGCGAGTCGGTCACCGGCGGCAGTTCTCAACAAGAATCGCCTGATCTACCGCCTCACCTTCGAAATTCTGTTACGAGGGTTCCCGTAACCCCGGGTATTCAGTCTTCGACCTATACGTCCAGAACGAGCACCGACTCTGTCAAGGCCGCGAGCCTAGGCTACTTCACACGGGATCCTGCCAACCAGAGCAGCGGTGTGTCACAACCACCTCCGACAGAACCTCATTCAGATGGATCTTCTCCGACGAATTTAGTAAAAGGTGCTACTTCAGACCGTGAAGTCTTACGACGGATGAGTATCTCGACTAAAGGGCGAAGGGAGTCTATTTCGGAAATTCGAGCTGCTGCCCCTGACTTAGCTCTCAGCGGTAACATCATCTCGGTTACTTTTACAACGCCTTACTCTCTTAAGTACCATAAGAATGGCGAATGGGTTAGTTTGATCTGGCACAAAAAAATGAGCACACCCCGAAACTAACGCTAGATAGGAACTGGATCATCGTCGCGGCCAATCTGCCCTTTTCGACTCCTTCTCCTACCTGTCGTCCGACGAAGCGCCTTGGAATCATACTGTAGTTGCATGGACGGGCGAGATTGAATCACCTTCCGAATCCTTGTCGTCTGTATCGGAGGCCATCCCCGATACGACTGCTAATATTCCGGGTCTGAGCCATCTTTCGGCTCCTATACCGTTGGATGGAGAAACGCCGCCAACACCCCCTGAGGTTGACGGCTTATGGATTACACGCGAAAGCCAATTGAAGCTGGAACAACAATTATCCCATGATAGGCGCATTAAAGCAATTCCCGTGTGGCTCGCCGACGACAACGAGACGAGCGACGAGGGCATTACATTAAACAACCAAGGACGGTGGCGGCGATATGCTGAACACACGCTATACCCCCTATTGCACTACAAGCAACACGAACCCAATGATGGCCGCTCGGAACGT